ATTTCTGACTCTGATATATTTTTGAAGCAGTGAAAGCCATAGTTTGCTTTTGACCTTCAGGGTACAAGCCAGTTGGCAAATTGGCAAAACAGGCTAATCCATCTCCCTCATGGCAAATACACATCAGCGTATAATCATACAGAACAATTAAAGCGCTGTGATGTTGTCCATAAATAAACCAAATCTTAGCTACAGATAGAAGGTGATTTTTTTCCTCCTGATGTCACATATGGCTGTAGAAAGGACACCTGCCAATGATATTTTGATTGGTGTAGCTAAAGATCTGTCAATGTTTTCATAGTGAAGTTCAGCTGATGCTGCCTAAAGAAGGCAAAAAGAATCAGAAGTGTATTATCCTTCTGTTTAAATATTAGCTGATATGAAGAGCCTTTACAAATAGGTGCATAAGTAGCAAGGCAAAGCCTTAATGAAAACCATGTCATCTTTGGGACAGGTGAATTGAAACCTGAGTTTACAAAAGAAAATGGCTTTTCATGGAAGATCAGTATTGTAGGGTAGAAAGAGGCCAAATATGTCTAACAAATATCCAGTTAAGAATATTGAAAAGATGGATCTTAACAGAGCTACATAAAAAGCCTACATGGGTTGCATCCTATAAGTAGTGTAGGATTAGAAGTACTAAATGTCCGAACAACTTTCAAGCTGTTGAGCTGCCCTTACTGAGGACCAATTCACCATGATGGAAATATATCCTGACAGCTGTTTTGGAGTTCTGTAACAGGATTTCCTGGACCTCAAGGGATGGCAACTGGCCATGAAGAATGTTGGATCTAGAAGGAGTATCTGGAGGTTGTGCAGCAAGATCGGTTTTTGCCAGTCCCCAGGTCAGAGCAGACACTATGCTGGACATCTGTGTTAAGTTGATTAGCCAAAATTGGCTTGGAAAGTTTGTAACTGTAACAGTGTTGTGGCTCTGTTTCTTTCCATCTTGAAAATACTTTGGGAATCAAAGCAGTACAAAGAAAGAGAGCAGGTCTATGCTACACCAGAGAAGCATCCTGGCCTCAGGCCTCTGGTGATAACAAGTTCTTGAAGCACTTCAGAATTACCACTCTTTTTGGCTAGAAGCTGGTGCAATGGCCACATCAGAAAGTGCTGTCAATTACTTTGGCAGCGAGCACCTGCTCTCCTGGTATCACGGCTGTTAACAGTATGGTTTGTAGCAATGCTACAAAGGTGCCTGATGGCCAACTAATCCTCCTACAGAGTAGATGCTCAAGCTGATACATCATGCAGGGCAGTTTAACTACAGCAGTAAGTCAGATGGACTCTGGACTGGGGATATGGTAGTTAATTCATTGCCACACAGACTCTCTCCAAAGCCATTGTGCAGAAAATATCTCTAACACTCGAGCTCTTTTTGGATAGAAAACTAATCCTAAACTGAACACATGGTGGGCTGCCCTAATTATACCAGCCTTTTGTGGTACAGATGTTTTCTGTTGAATTAGTCTGTTTTATTGAATAAATTAATTCCTTAGGAACATATATAAGGCCTAAAGAAAAGGAAGAGCTCTTCAGAAAAAAACACTGCAAAAGTTCAATGGACAATCTGAAATATTTAGCTGCTGACCCCAAAAAGGGGATAAAGCCAGAATTCCTATTCCTATATGGAAGCTTCCAAGAAGGACTCTGCAGTACTTAGGTGCATCACAGCTATGGCCTCCTCATTTTGACAGTCCCTTTAGAAACCATGCCCCATGGGAGGTTAAGACTAGAAATAAACATAATTCACTGTTACTCTGCGCTTTTGTGCATGTGCTTCCTCAAATATTTATACATCACATTTCACCTTTCTAAACTATCCCTTTCTCGCCAAGCAATTAATTCAATCATGTCACAGTTCAGTGTTTATTTTATCCAAACACTGTACAAGCAATTTCACTTTGAATCTGATCTGAATAGTCTGGTAGATTAGAAAAAGACATTGTCTTTAGTACAGTAACTATGCAGAAGAGCAAGTATATACAAGACCAAGTAACTGCTTGAATGATCAGGCCATACATCCTTAGCAAAATGGCATTCCAGTGTGAAAGGTGAAACCTGTTTCATGAGAAACACAGGAAAGATGAGTTACTTAATGTGAGGGTGCCTTCTTCTGTGTTTTTTTGACTACTTAAGCTTGGAATTTCAGTGTTCCCTTGATGCATTTTTTGTTTTTATGAAGCAACAGGAAAACTTTCTGTGGTCAGTCATACTTCCCTAAAGGTGAAAGCCAAACCTAAGAAATACATAGTTTTTTCTGCCAATACTCTTTTTGTGGAGGTGGCAATAGGGACAGAGAGAAGGAGGAAAAGGGGAATGCAGAGAGAGAGGTGTGTGTATGTAGCAATATGAGAAGCAAATGGATTTAATGTATTGGCTCCTTTCATGAATGTTAAGAACAAAAAGTATAAAGAATTTGACAGTCTTTTACCTCAAAGAAAGGAAGGCAGCTGTAAGACTGTGAGAAGAGCTGAGAAATTCTCAGTTTAGAAATGAGAATTTCTAGAACTAAACAGAAATTATGAGTGTCAAACACAAACTGAAGGATGATATTTTTTTTTTTTTTGAAATGCCCTAGAGAAAAATCAAACAGCACGAACACCATGGATTTTTCCAGCCTCAAAAAATCCATTAATGAGCCAGATCCTAGGCTGCAACTCCAAACACTGGCAGTCCTTCAGGTACAAGTCAAACAGTCACCCATCATCTCTGTTCCTCCATTTTCACACTAATTTCTGCCTTTCCCCATAAATAGAATTTCTTACTGTTTAAAGAGCTAGAGATAGGCAGGCAGTGGAAGGTATCAGAGAGATGGCTCGTGCTTTTCCAGGTGGGCCACAGTATATCCAGGCCAACGTACTCAGGAACATTCTGGAACCTCTGCTATTTCTCCTTTTTAAAGTACACCAAGTTATATTAATTTCTATTTAGAAAAAATGTAAAATAATTTATCCTTTTATTTTGAAAGTATTAGGAATTTGCTGGGGAATGCAGAAATCATGAGGACAGAGTCTATATTCTTCAAGCTGATGCAGAAAGGCGAATTTTCACATGAACTGACAATGATGCAGTACAGTGACAGCAGTGAAGTGCAGGGGTTTGAGGCAGGCTGAGAGACCGCTGGTCTATCAGTTGCAAAGCTTTCCTTGTCTGACTCCAGATGAGCAATCTGTGGTTTACCCTTACTATCCTCTTCATGGCACAGAACCTCAGGATTTTTTCCATCTGCATATGACAGCTTGTTTATTCTGACCTTGTTACTCATCTTGTGTTTTCTTACTTATCTGATGTTTTTCTTCCTCAGTAAAATCAAGCTTTACTTCCAGCATGCATAGCTATCACTGATTCTAGGAAGAAAGTCTCAAGTGCAAATATACACCTATGCTTTAGCCTAAGACTCACTGCACTGCCAGAACAATCCTGAATCTAGATTAACACCCATGAAGAAAGATATATTGGAACTGAGAAATCTGAAGTATCTAGTTATAGAGAGAAATGCCTGTTGGTGGCTGTAAAAGCATCCTTTAATAATTCAGAAGACAGTAGGGATGAAGAGAGGTGTTTTCCCAATTAGTTCACGGAGGTAAGGAGAAACCTTATCTTTCTTCTACAAATTAATCAAAACAGCTTAGAGGTGAAACAAACATAACTATGATCCTAGCACATCAGATACAAAAGCCTCTTCACTGCAGTTACTTATTCCCTTACTTAATGTCTAATTGCCCCATGCAGCTGACACAACAGACCTATCGGAGATCATCTCTTTTTGAGCTACAACAACGTGGTACTAAAACAGAGCTAGTCTGCATATTTTGTGAGTAAAAAATTAGTACATAGCTAGCACCTTTCCTAATTATTTTCTTCATTAATGGAAGCACTTCTAACCTTCAGGGAATATTTTTAACACATAATAAGATACATGGTAAAAATGCAAGCAACTGGGCTACTGCTGAAAGCCAGAACTTGATTTTTCAAGTCTTTCAAAGCAGGTCTCATATCTGACAGTGTCAGACTGAAATTACATGCATTAATTTTGCAGTGCAGAATGCAGGGTCTCTACAACAAACACTGAAAGTTATTATTAGAGCAATATTTTGTTGTTTAACAAGTTATCATGGAGGGGCACATTTCATGAGTCCCAACTTAAGATCATAACCACACACTTTAAAGATCTGAATCTGAAATTTATACTGTGCCAAGTGTTCTTTTGAATGATGATTTCTAGGAAAAATTGGTGACTTGGACCACTGGTTGTATTCCACAGTATTCAGCAAATCTGTCACTTGCATCTGCTCTGTACTGGGATGTGCCACTTATCATCCAAGATTCTGGTTTTGTCAGCTTTATGGAGGGAAAAAAAGTAGTAGTACGTAGATTGGTAATGACATGCTCCATTACAGAGTAAAATGTCCAGAGTGCATTCATTTCAAGAAAACGAAACGTAAATGTAAAAAGCACATAGGAAATCCATTTCAGCTCTTAATCAAATTCAGTGGGATCAAACCTTGATGGTCCTCTAAGAAAGAAAAGAGTTTTTATCTTGGCATGACAGAACAGATGTTCATTTTTGTTTAAAGATTTTTTGACAGAGCCTTCTTATCATCAGTCACTGCATTTAGACTTGGGCTTTTTTATATCCTCCCAGTCTCTCTTAGAGCTGTGGACTTCCTCCTTCCATGAACCTGATAAGTGCTCAGCATCTCAGGCAAGAGTCATGCTTAACTCCACTCTATGCCAGGAGGAACTTGCAGTCTTGCAAGTCTACTGTTCTCGCTGTCACGCCACCAGGCAGTCAACATTCTTGTCACAGACAGCCTGTCTATCCTTGTCAACAGAAAGCCAGCTCCTGACAAGCCCATTAAATGCCATGCCACAGCACCCTTGGTTCACCCCATCTTGTTCCAGAAATTCATACTAGCACAGGAATAGCAACTACTTTCACGTCTCAAACAGAAAGCACAGGCATTACTGAAAAGCTAACATCTCCAGCATACCTGTGGAACAGTCTGAACCTGTCCACTGCGGTTCACAGCTGCAGATTCCCGCATCCAGGAGGAATGTCCCATGCCCTGAGCATTGCTCCTGGCACACAGGAAGGGATGTCTCACAGTTCACACCGCCCCAGCCTGTGGAGCAGTGACATTCCCCTTGAACGCACACACCATGGCTGGAGCACATAGGATCCAAGCAGTCCTCTGGAAAGCAGGAAATACACATTTTAGAGCATAAAACTCACACCTTTACAGTGATTTCCTAGTGAAATGCAACATTAGGGATTCAGATTAATTTAGTGCCTTTCATGCAAACACCCAAACTGAAACGATGATAATAAACACAAGGAAAAAACAGTCTATGCTAACTGTGCAAGAATGTAAGTCAAAACCAAGAAAAAAAAGCCAGCATGTATACTGTCAGAGATCTACATGATTCCCTTGTCAAGGATATTGTCTTATTTTTAGAACACAGATTCCCAAGACAGATCTATTGGTCCAAGTCAGTGAAGCCTGTGCTTTAGTAGCAAGGCTGGGAAAGAACTGAGACAATTAATAATTACTTCTACAATTGTGCATTGTGTTTCCATTTGAGTATTTGTGCTCTGTGTTTTATCTGTATCTGGGAAAAGAAGGATTTATTCTTTCATCTTCCTGTGGAAAGCTATCTCTACAGCTGAAAATTTGATACAAGAAAAGTGGCCATCTATTGACCCTGAGTAGTGAATCTCTGACTGAATGCTTGCTGTAAAAAAAAACCATCTTATACAGTCATAAAAAGCATGCACTGGGCAATTGCAGATAATGAACAGATTCATGAAAGTCATAAAGTACTGATGAACAGTTTGCAAACAAAGAGCTAAATTTGTTCTCAATTTGGATGAAACTATTTCTAGCAAAAAATTCAGAAGCTCTGTAGAAGAATCTAAATCAGCTGGTTAGTCCTTTATAATCAGCACATTCCTTCATAAAGCCCCAGCACTTCTTTAACAAGACAGATTTTAAGCAGAACACAGCCTGCCTTCTCCAGGGGCTGCAGGAAGACTGCAGAGTTGAAAGGGATTTGTGGGGTCCGAGCCCAGGAAACAATTAGCCAAAAGCCTATTCATGTTAGAACAAGCTTCAGACTAACATTAATGAGGCCCTTGGAAAGTTTTGCATGTATTTCTCAAGTATCAGCACAAGTACTGTTTCAATAATTAAACTGTAAACTTAACAAACAGTATTCTGTGCTACAGGAACGAAGAGACGCTCTCTGCTAAATACTTCAGACATAGAGATTAACAGCCTCCAGTTTATAGGACCTTTTGACCCAAGGATAAATCTTTTTAAAAGATTTATCTTTTGAGCTGCTGTGCCACCAATTCAAGATCTTATTTCAAGATTTATGTTGTATCTTTTTCTGCCTTCCAGGCTTGTTGCACAGCACAATGTAGTTCTGAATAGAGGGGAATCATTGTTTCTGGACAACATGTACCTTGTGAAGCACTGGACAAAAATACTCAGCAATTTTCTCTCATCCCGAGACAGCTCTTTATTTTGCTGATCTAGAATTCATTGTGTGACTCCATAAAGGGTTTAAAAAGTATCATTCACTTTAGCAATGATAATCTAGCCAGACAAATTCAAAGGACTCCCGTAGCCATGAACACATGCAGCTACTGGTGTTCCCTGGATAGTACATCTGCAGCTATGTCTGCTATGTTAATAGTACTGCCACAATACTGAACTCATATTTACTTACAATAATGTAATCTGAACTCCTGACAGAATCACTTCCGCTACTGCACAAGTTACGTTGTACAGTAAACTGGACAGTCATGTCATGCACACACGGTTACAATAAAACCCCACTGCACTTGGTTGCACAGGTTTGCTTCATCCACCCTATTTCTACATATTCTACCTTTAAACATGTCTCTTACTTTCAAGATGCAATGCTTTCACACTTAGCTTCAATAACTGAGTACATTTAGCTCAATTATTTTTTTTCAACCATTCTGCAGGATCATGTTATGGCAAGAAACAAAGCAACTGAAAGCAGCAGTTAGCTTCTCACCAGCTACAGGCTCGTTTGGCATCACAGCCTCAGTGAATAACTCTATGTATTACTTTCTTCCCATTTGGGTTTTCTTGGTTTTTTCTGTTTCTGAAACCACCACCAACTGAGTATGTCAGCAGAATTCTCTTGATCCTCCCTTTAAAAACCTGTACCAGGTATGTCAAATCCATCAAATCCATCCTCTAGATTTTTTCTGACTAGAGAATTCAAGCCACATAAAGAACCTCCACTGTGTGACACTCAAAAGAATTACTTAAAATCTATACAGCAGGAAGCGCTGTCGCTAGCTTCAGGCTAAGAGGACCAGTGAAAAATCATCACATCAGGGCAAGCACGAAGAAGAGTTCTGCTTTCTGAGGCTATGCACAGGGAAAGAAAGTCAAAGCTGATGAGCTATCTCAGAAATGCTAAGAGGCAAATAACGACCGCTTCTTTTGAGATGAGGGCAGAGGCACATAGGTTCTGCAAACAGCAAAAGTACAATTACTTGTTCTCATAATTTCCCTCTTATTAGCCAAGCCTTGGAAGATGCTGGTGTAGCATCCTGAACACAGGCTCACAGTAAAAATGGCATATGACAACAGAATTACACAATATGCTCTAGTAAACTGAAACTAACTGCTGCTCTTTTGGCTTTATATTGTCAGTCGTTCCATGCAAAAAAAATCTAAGATGTAACAGAAGGAAGAAATGGAAAAGCCGATTGTGATCTTCTGATTGCTCTGGAGAACCACCAATCATGTTTTGTTTACATGATCTGACTGCCTTATCCTTAGCTTTTGGCCAAGTAAAAAAGTCTGCACCTGCTCTCTGACAGTGTGTGCTTAGGGACTGAGGTTACTGGCAGCAAGGAGAGATGGGGACGCCAGCCACCCTTCCTGAAAAAGTATCTGGAGCCTGCGAAAAGTGGAGACAAACAAATCAAGATGCTCTCACAACTTTCACCAAAAAAAAAGGAATCCTTGCTTGCTGGGATGTTTTTCACGATACTTTTGGAGGACTGAGAACATGCTGCTTGCTAAAAGGACAAAATTTCCACCCAGTTCTGTTCTTGCTACTGAGATTCAATGGGGGAATGGAATAGAAATCATCTGAGAACTTGCTTCCTTGCAGACCAAACCAGAAACTGAGTATTTCAGAGGACTGCCCATGCAACAATTATAAGGCAGTTTTATTAGATAATGTTAAATAATTTTAGTCCTTTAAAATAAAAATGTGAATCTTGGAAATTATGTGATCAGCTTCCACTGACTGTCACTGGGACCTGAATGCCTTTACCTTTGATAATTTTCTACCTTAACATTACTTTTTTTGACAAAGGTGCTTTTGAGCTTCACAGTAGGCTTCTCACATCCATGCGAGTTCTTACCTACCTTAAAACAGGTTTGGTGGTTAAAAACTAAAACCAACCCCGTGAAGTATAGAGAAGGAAATGACACAAACCTTCCTCACAAATCTCTCCTTTGTATCCAGGGACACAGATGCAAATGCCCATGATACAAGTACCATGGCCAAAGCAGGTTGGATCAAGGCACTGTTCTTCTGGAACATCACACTCGGGTCCTTTCCACCCATTTCGACACACACAGTGACCTTTCTCATATTCTCCATTTCCGCTGCACAGCACTGGACAGGAATCTGAAGAAGGCAGATTGACCTTTTTAATGTATTTACATACTTATGTAGATTAACATTTACTGAATTTGTTGTTCTGTAATATTGCTTTTCTACTCCATCCCCCCCCCCCCCCATTTGATTCAAGGGCTGTGACAGGCTGAAATCTCTGAGCTTGGTAGTGCAGCAGTAATACAATATCCTCATCTCCTCAGTCTGCTTCACTAGTGTACCTTAATTTGGACCTGAAATGGGCTATCCTAGAAGAGAAAAAGAATTCCATCCTCTTGATTTGCCTCTGCAGAAAATTTGCAGTGATGCCTGCTTATGATTTCAGTAAGATTGCGTCCCTGTAAACTGAATCAAGACACTCCCTTTTCTTCTTTCTTCTAAGCAGACTTAACATCACTGAAGTTTTATCCATTACAGATCTGCACTTAAATCGGTGACGTGGAAGCTCAGTTTTACAATCCAGTATCAATTTTTGGGCAAAGTCATTCCTAAATTTGAGGGAATATTGGAAACCCACGAGAACTTCCAGACATCACATGGAGCTGATGATGGATAATACCGACAGAAACAAGCTCACTTAAAATTGTTTTAGCATAGGGTTTTTTTTTGCCCCAATGCTACGAAACAGTCTCTAAGCTGCTTCAGGTTTCTTTTCTACATCCTCTACAAGTTAAGACCGTTGAAGCATTTGACTTCTGCAGTTTTCGCCAAAGTGAAGCTGTTTGTCACTTTTAAATAACAGAAAACATTATGCCAAGCTAACACACTTATTAAAAAATGTATTTTATAATCACAGAGCAGATGGAAAGAGGCATGGAGGAATCTATTAACTCTGAAAGTCAGGGAGAGAGAAGTGGTTGATGCATCTTAGCTCAAAGCATGGCATAAAGAAACTTTATGTTCGTACTGTCTGCCACCTGGCTGGAAAAAGGAATTTAATCTCCTTTAATCACTTTGAATCTTTGCAAGCCCAGCAGTCACACACCATAATCACTATCCCTGTCATGCACTGTGGGTCAGTTAATACGAGATTACCTTTTGCACAATCAGGACCAAGGAATCCTGGGAAACAGTGGCAGTGCCCCGAGATGCATTCTCCATTCCCATTGCAATTAGTAGAGCAGTCATCCAGGACTTCTGTTTATTCAGAAAGTTGTGCACAGAGAAAAATACAAATTGGTTGCATTTGAAATGAATGGCATCTTCACCTCACTCTGCAGGACACATCTCAGCATACGAATAGGTGCAGAAGCAGTAAAAGGCCCATTTTCATTCACAGGGAGCATAAAACAAAATTCCTGTTGAAGCAGCTTACAAATATTAGATTTTGCCTTGACAGCTTTGAGATAACAAGTGCATCATTTATATTACACCAAAAAGCTTTTAAAGTAAGTGTTCATGTAAAATTTACCACCATTAAAAGCACTGCAAAAAAAAACAGAGTATTTGCTGAAAAACATCCACCTTAAACACTTTCTTTCATAGCTGAAGTAATTTGCTTGAAACCTGTTTATAGAGTAAATTGCCTTCTATGGTGTTCATTTGAACTATGTGAATTGAAATCCTTGGAGGAGGGTAGGATTTCCACATCTATACAGTCAGATGGAAAAAAAAAGTCTTTTGTACAGTGACAAAACTCAATGCAATAAAGGACCAAGAACTAGATTTGAAGGAAAAAACCCACCTTCGATTCTGATCTCAAACTTGCCCATGTTTTATCACACAGCTTTGGATGGTAAACCACTTAACCTCACGCATCTGGGGACAGGCTCGTATCTGTACATGGATTAGCTGGTTTTAATTTACACATGGATTTCCCACAGGAATCCAGTGGTTTATATGGGTTTTATGTAAAGGATATGAAGCAAATCCAAGGTTAAGCTGCTCTCACGTGGAGCAGGTCACTGTCAGGACAGCACTAGGAGTGAGAGTCTCTGCAGCTCATGTAGGCATCGCGCAGCAGGGGCAAGTTGCTACAGAACAGCAGGAACTGGGACTGTTTTATGGGCACAGGCACCAATAGATGATGTGGGGAAGTATCTCTGGCCACAGGAAGATGGGAAACATGGCTCCTTCCCCACAAAATAAAAACTGTTGGGGGAAAAGAAAAACTAAGATTCTTCTGAAGAATATCTGTCCATGGCAAGTGATTAGGAAAGAAAAAATTTCTCAAAAAAGGGCATATCACTTGAATATTTAAGCTAATCAAATCCGATATACTTTTAAACTCAAATATAATTTGTGAATAGATGGATTATAAGCACGTCCTACAACTAATATGAATAACTGAAACAAGCTTATTTTGACCTTATTTATGGGCACTTGGAGTGATAAGGATTAGTTCCTCTGGAAAACTCCTTGGTTCATTTAAAAAAGTTCATTCAGGCTATCAGTTTATACCAAAGAACAGGCATTTGATATGGATCTGTCCATTAGACATCCACAACAGTACATGGATGTCTGTTTCAAAATCAGAAAACCAGCTTGTTTTCAGAAGCTTTTTTACATATATGCTGCATGTTATCAATTTTTACATGTTACTGTTCACTCTCAACTCTTCTATATGTACGCTTGCCTGTCTTCTCAGCTTTCCAGAATTACATGGTAAATGATCTCTACATTGACCTGAAATGAAGAATTAATGGTTTGAAAAGTTACATCCCCTCAATGTGATGTCCAGTTTGAGCTGGCCTTTATTACATCTATGGAATTACTAGAGGCATGCCAGATTTTGAATGCAAATTACCCCCTTCAAGGGAAAGTCTGATCAGAGCTTTAACTAAAGTGTCAGCAAAATCAATTTTGTACATAACTAACATTGAGGAACTTGAAATACTATCTAACAGACGCTCAAGAGAAGGGCATGACTGCTTCACACAGCTGACAGTAGCATACAGCAGAGATGCATCCAAGCTCTCACTCTATTCTGAGTGCTTCAATCTGTGGTTCTGATTTCTTTGTCATCACCAGAGATGTCAAATAACTCAAGCCCAGTATGGGGAGTAAGGAGTAGGGCTCCAGGTTTTGTTTTTGTTTTTTTGGAGAGACTATGCTACTTAGCAATGAGATATTGGTTAAACCCTTCTGTATAAACAATGCTGCAGTAGAAATAAATAAAGGGGCAGGTATTTGGATTCTGATTTGGACTGGAGTTTGGCCAGGTTTTGTGCTCTTCATAGTGTGCCTGTGAAGATGCTTTATAAATTGCTGGAATATCATTTCCTCATATGGCACTGAATAATGGTAATTTTTCTTGCTTGTAAAAGATTTGCTTTTCTGAATGAAGATAATATGAGCTTTTAAACCAAAAGCAGACATTACAAATCTCTCTCAATTTCTAAAGAATTTTCCTGTAAGTCCTTCAAAATCTTGGTATCTGAATCATACTGTCCTGCTCTGCAAGGTGTTTACCATCATGTAAAAATAGTACCCAATTGTTCTAAAGAGCAGATGGCACGTCCATTACTAGTAAAGACATCTTGCCAAACATATGGTAGAACAGGTTAACTAAAGGGCATAGTGGTTAAAGTCTTGCAGCAAACTGACACTGTCATAAATACAACACTTTACCTGAATTTGAACTGCGAAGAAACCCCAGTGTGAGCACTGCTCACTAACACCACTTAAGAGTTGCAAACTTTTGCCCACCTAAATGTATTAAAAAGGCAATAGGGATCTAATATGCAACCAGGACATTTGCCTTCCGTATTCAAAACTAAACATCTACAAAACAACAGCACTCATCCACCAAACAACCACAACAAAATCCACAAAAGCTGCCTCTTAGTTTTTCTGACTAAAATAGTGCGAAGAAGTAAGAACTGAAGAACTTTAAGCCTGAGTAATTTTTGTAGGACTTATGGTTCCCATGTAAATAGAGGGCAGACATAATCTCTTTTACTTTGAGCAAGATAACACCAGAAATTACTCAAGCATTTAAGCTATTGTATAAAAATCTTAACAGACATGAAAACTTCACACTTAATTAATTTGCTAACATCCATCTTTAATACACAAATGTTATTCTTCGTCTAATACTAGCATAAACATGAAGTTGCTCCACTGAGGCTAATTAAACTAAGCTGAAATAAAACTTGTTTTAGAGAATACTTAAAAAAAGCCTAAATGAAGGTTAAGAATTTCTTTCCCAATACAGTTTTCCAGTGTAATAATCAGAAAAACAGTTTTATTGGAATTGTTCTTACCAATCGCAGTAGTTAGTACAAATACTTGCTCCACTTTCTTTCCATCATTGTAGAATGCCATATGCCAAGCTCCCTGATCCATATACTCAATGAAACCTGTCTCTTGCAGTGAAGTTAAGATCAGATTTCTCGGAGCTTGTTGAGTCTCCTCTGAGGTTTTTTGCTCCTGTTTAATTAACTGTTTTCCATCCATCAGTTTTACAAAATCAAACTGAAATAATAATGAGCAAAAATTAACCACCTAGAAAATTTTTATGATCTACTCTACATGTCTCATTCAAACAGGAATAAACAGCTGAAATCTTAAGGGAAATTGCCTCTCTGACTAAGTATTCACCAATGTGGACAGCTGTTGCATAACCTAGTCTATTTAGCTTCAGTTTCCATATAAAAAGTATTATGGTAGATCAGAAATCTGGAATGAAAATTTGCTATTTGCTATGACAGGGTAAATTCAGACTTGTCGGACTACATACTAAATCCCTTAAATGCAGATAATGCAAAGATGTCCAGACTGTAGTGCCTATGTTATTTAGGGATTCATCTCAAATGCAAAGAACAGATTAAAGAACCTACTGTTCTATACCAGATTTTAAAATGTTTGTCCCTTAATACCAATACCAATATACTTAATGCCAATAATAATAATACTTAATACCAATATCAAACCCTGAATGTATTTTTATTTCTATTTAAGTTATTAATGCAAATAGATATCTGGAAGTTCTTAATACCTAACCGAGTTAATGCTGACAACTTTAAGACCAATTAACCTCAAAGCATCAGAGATGTAAACCTTTCTATGAATCCCTGTTCAGGGAATGTATACATTTCTCTACATTTTTTTCTAGGCATTCTGATTTCCAGTGAAGTTCAACTGAAGACCCAGCTTCAATTAAAGTCAATGGCAAATAAAAGAGCTTATTTTAAAGATCAAAATTCTACTAAATACATTCTGAGGTTAGACTAGATGATCTCCAGAAGTCCCTTCTAAACATGACAATCTTTCAGTGATTCCACACGTTACACTTCATGGAGTGTGATCATGCTATAAAAAGCTAAAAATCTATTATCCATGGAAATGGCAGCTTCATATGACAAATACCTTAGGACTAAAAAAAAACCAACAACCGCCCAAAAAACCATTAAATTTGAATGTGACCAACTATATCACATATTCTTAGTTCTTAGCTAGGTCTTCTTCTGCAATCTTCTTCTGAGATCATCCAGTTCCAAGCTCTGCCATGGGTAGGGACACCTTCCACTACAGCAGGCTGCTTCAAGCCCCATCCAACCTGGCCTTGAACACTGTCAGGGATGGGGCAGCCACAGCTTCTCTGGGTACCCTGTGCCAGTGTCTCACCATCTTCACAGCAAAGAATTTCTTCCTAATGTCTAAATTAATTCTCCCCTCTGTCTGTTTAAAGCCTTGTCCTGTCCTTACATGCCCTTGTAAAAACTCCCTCTCCAACTTTCCTGTGGCCCTTTTAGGTACTGGAAGCTGCTCTAAGATCTCCCCTAGTTACACAGTCAGTCCTTTCCTCCTTACCTACTTTGAAAGTGTATTCTGAACATTCACATCCACTGCTGTCTGAAAATGTAAGGATGACAGGATTAGTATTATTTGTAATTACCTGAGTGTGAGTAGGGGGAATGTTTCTTCTGCCATAAATTCCCAGCAGAGAATCCTTCGCCAGTGAAATGTTAAATTTCAGGTACATGGGGTGATGTATAGTAATCTGAAAGCGCCAGAATAAACCAGGGGGGATCGTCTGCATAACTTGTGCTCCAATCTCAACTTCTCCTGTGTCTATGGCCCGTCCCTTCTGAAACACTAATTTTCCAGAAACAAACAAAACAATCAGTTGTATATTCATGATGGGTGAAGGAAATAGGTTACGAGGCATAAATGTGCCTTAGATATATCAGAATATATTAAACCCAAACCCTAAACAGAGGGCATTTCACTGTATTTTTTTATTCAACAAGCTGAAAAATACAAATAAACTTGCATGCAATATTTATGCCAACAGGCACCACAGAGCATTTTTGCCCTGGAAATCTTGGAACACTTTAATGAATACAAAAAGGTAGAAGTGCTGCTGCGTAAAGCACAGTCTTTACCTATCAGCTATGCAAACATAACCCATTCAACTGAGAGTGCACGGAGTGAAGGCAGCAGGAGATCTTCCTCTGGCACTTATTTCAGACTCCTGCTGAAAGGGCATTGCATAAGCTACACAAATGGATCCCAATAAGGACAGAAAGTCCATCAAACCTGGTAGGTCAGAGCCCATGTCCAAAGCCTAGATTTCTATTAATCACCATTCCTAATGATTTTATAATGGTAGCGATAATCTAGTCCTGCAGAAATAAAGAACATCTGTTTTGGCTTGGTCTGTCTGCAGGAAGTGTAACGGGGCATGAGGACAGGGACAGGCAAGCTAAAGAGAAAACTGGCATAATTTCATAATGACTAACAATAAATTTGCAGACATCTACAGTATGTAACTTCACACATGGATATGAGAGCTGAAGTAGAAAGGGAAATGGAATTCATAAAAAAGACTTTGCCAAACTAAATTGGAGCTGGCTCATTTTGCTGGCTTGTATAACCATCTTTGTGTATTTTAATGCCTGTCCTGTGATCAGCATCGTGACATGCTGCAAATCACAGGCCCCATCCTGCTAACATCTGAGCTAATTCCATTGTCAGATTTGCAAAACTCTAACTTGCATTTCCATGCTTTCTCTCAACTAGAAAAAAAGCAGGGTAGTATGCTTCACCGGAGGAAGAGCTAAGAGAAGATGACAGAATTCAGCAGCCATATCCATTTACATTTCATTTCAATCCAGTATCACAGTGAAGGATATAGAGCAGCAATCTAAGTGACTGGAGCCTCACCTTTTACAATAATGCATATAAGTATCTAATGCAACATAATGTACAGGATATTCTATAAATTGCCACTGGAAATGAGAACAGCAGTAGCAAAGCTAGGCCCAGCTTTTTCCTGAATGCATTAATAACAAAGATTCTCAGTGGGATCTTCCATAGGCTTTAACTAGCGTAGGAAGTACTTAGCATTCTTAATGAATAGAGATTTAATTTACAGGGCAGGAGCAACTCTCAGGGTACTGGATCTTCCAGCTTTACAGCTGCTTTGTGTCACCAAAGCTACAGCAAGAACTAGGAGCTGACTTTTAACACCTTATCACATAAAGCATCTATTTTTAGAGCACAGAACTTGCAATCTAACACTCTAAAAATACATCTGTCACTTCATGAGTTAAAATATTCCAAAATTGCTGCTTTAATGATGTTCAAGGTGAGACTACTTCTGTCCAATCAGCTTCATGGAAAAAATCTTTAATGCTGATTACTGAAAAGAGGATTAATCTTCCTATGTTGAGCAACAGAAGTGGGTCCCTTCCCACTGCACCCCATACATGATCCTACTTGGCTGATGTAAATTTAAAAGCCTTTTCCCCTATTTCCAGTACTCTAGAGATATTAAATCTTAATGATTCTTCCCAAGCAATTACCCTGGGTTAAGTAAAACACTAAGGAACTTTTTGGTGATATTGACACATGGTAATTAATGTGATTCAATTACAAGAGGGTACAGCACTAAGTAAAAAGTCAAGGATACAGTATCATTTTTGAAGTTAATGGCATTATTGGTCGGTGTTCAAGTCCTTTAAAATGCAGTAACTGCTGCTTAGTTTGTTGAAGTGAGAGGCCTGCTCCTTGGTTGAAAATAAAAAGCATTCTGTCTTTAGTCAGGAAGTATTTTCACTAACTGATGTTATCAAATTATATGGAATACCACGTTAGCGTTGCTAGGCTCAAAACAACATCTCTCAATTTCTCCACATTTGGCTGAAAATTCCTATGTTTTAGCAATAATCTTAGGTAAGCTTTAAAAAAACAGATGCACTTAGATTTACTTTTATCTCATTACACATGAAAGAAGTGCATGCTGCTGTTCACAGCGGCAACATGAAAATACATATATTATCTACCACTTACTGAAAATATGCAGTTGCAGCTTATCTGCAACGTATCTTTCAAACAGTATTTTTTTTCAGACAACCACATGGCATGGAAGGACTGCTGTAAGAGCCAAGTCTGAAGTGCATGTTTTCATATCCATTGAGCCACTGTGCCATCTTTATGGAAAAAGAATTTAGCTCTGATTCTGTGCCTTACTGGACCAAGCAGGTATTTGGATGTACAAAAAAGGCATCTGAAGATAACACTATTCAGAGCCTATCCTCATGTACTTCCGTGCTCTTTCTTGAAAAAAGTCTTGTTCTAAAAACATTTTTATCATAACAACATCTTCCTTATGAAAAATAAAATTTAATTATCTATATTCAGTTTCTTGTACAGGTCCCAGGCTCACCAACTAGTATTAATTCTTCCCTATGCTTTCTAAGCACACTTTCCTTGGAAGTCTAAACCAGAAGATAAATTCCTAATCACAGGTTTCTCTTGGCTTCAAGAAAGTAAAACTCTGAGCAGCGTGGTGCCAATTATCTTCACAAGAAAGTACCCATCCACTGATTATTACTGATCCTGAAACAATCAATCTCCTTGTACTCCCCTGGTAAATACCAGCATCAATTGGATGTCTGAGTTTTTAATCACATTACTACATATTAAAATGTTAACTCATAGCCGTGGGTCAGTGTGTTATAAAGTGAGTTCTTAAAGAAATCTGACTTGCTGGTTTGTAAACTTGATTTTAATTAAAGGATTAGTTAAAATATATGCTTTCAAAGTCTAGAAAAACATTCTGTGCTGCTCAATTGAGTTGGGGAAATGGGAGGTCACAATATCTGACAGTAGTTATTTATCCCTGTGAAATCCCATCAGAGGCTTCAAATTTACAATTTATCAACTTTCCATGGTATCCTTCCATAGTGAAAAGAGTTGCCTGTTTACAAATCGTCCTTCCCACCACATCTGCATGGAGAATTTTTACAAGCTCTGGGAATAAAATTACTGATATATATTAAAAGTGATGGAAAGAAATAAAGCCAGCAAAAATTAGCCACAGCCAGACTATACATGTACTAATGCCTGGTACCAAGTTCACATGACTTTTCTTGTGTTTACCAAGTGTATATTCCTTATTAGCATACACACTGGGTTCCAGGTTACCCCCAAAAGATGAAAGGGGACAAGTGGGACAGCAGAACAGCTATATTCATGACTGACCTCTGAAACTGCTGGATAAGCTTTCAGTGAACTGTCCCTGCTACTATCTCTGCTATTACAACCCTCTGTGCTTTAGCATTGTGGGAGAATTGGGTAGCTACACAAAGATACTGTTTACTGCCTGGGGTTTGTTGGGTGTTTACTTGCAATATTGATTCTCTATTGACACACATATTCTTTCCCCTGTTTTCAGGCATCTAATTTTTAAGACTTTTGATGTTTTGCCTGCACATCCTTCTTTGGAAGCCAAATGCGTTGGAGGAGCATTCATTAAATCTGTAATGTACTGACAAAATGATTTAATGCAGTTGAGAGAACTGAGACATTTTCCACGGTGCACCAGGACAAAAAACACAAAAGTGTATAAAACATTTACTGCAATTCACCACCAATACATTCTAGGGGGCAAAATAATAGGTAACAACATCATCTCCTTCATATATTTCTATTGATCATTTATCTAATATGATCTCTATCCATTTGTGCCACATCGATTTGTAAGACTACTGGTGTGAGATGTAATCTTACTTTTGGAGGGACTGGTACAACAACGTCCCGCTCTGTCTCATATTTACAGGCACAGATCTTACCTGGCATTCACAAAACAAGATCACTGCTCTGTTATAAAATCTGAAAGCTCTGGAAATCTATCATTGCAGAGCACTCAGTACAATTTTACCTTTCTCCTAATAACTGGAAACACTAGGGCTCTTATTCTACTCCCATTCACTTTTCTCTGATCTAACCTGATTTATCCACTTTTTCTGAGTATCATAAAAAGAAATGGGAGGGCCACTTGCTTCTCACAGTCAGAAAGCATCACTGTGGTGATCAATGGGAAGCATGGACGAGAGCTTGTAACTAATACTGGAGTAGGTGATCTAACAGCATTAAATGAGAGGACTTGAGAAAAAGGAATTGTGCATTTCAGAGACAGTCCTTCTGTTTCACACTCCTGGCTAGACAGACCACTCCTTCCCTGCATCAGCTCTACTACTTCTCTGCTCCTTCAAAAGAGCTGGTTCAGTCACTTCCATGGCAGAAGACTTTTTAATGAAGCCATTTTCTGCTGCCATAGAGAACTAACGTGTCTTGGTTGTGCATGAGACAATCCCTGCAGTGGGCAGGGGGATGCCAGAAGCCACACAGGGATTGCATGGGGGGAGAGCAGAACTGTTTCTCCGGCAGCACGTAGCTGCCAGACTGGCTCAGGCATTCCGTGAGACCTCAGTAGATGCCCGTGAGCTGATTCACTATGACTACTTCAGCCAGCATGTGACAGGACGCTGTGTTTTAGCTTATGCCTTCAAGAACTAGATGCCTTTAAAAGCATTAAGATTTCTCCCCTTCTGCATCTTCTGACTTGTCAATACAAAGGGTTTCACTTTGCCTGATTGACTTTGGTCAGCGTGACAGGCGCAGCATCAAGCCCTCTGTACAAATGGGAATAAGGCAAAGAGACCTCCATTGTCTTATGACAGAAGCCAAATGCTCTAATCTCTCTCCTCTCAGAAAAGAAGGGTGATTATTTTGCTACTGAACATTACCTCCCTAATGGCTTGGGTTGGTTGCTAATTTCAGTGAGAGTCCTGCTAAAGAAACTGAGCTGGTTATAGGATTTTCATACCTGTTTTAAAACTCTACCAGAGAAGATAAAACCTGAACTCAAAATGCTTTTGAACTAACAAATACAGAATCTGAACAGTAGTAATATTTAGATAATCTGTCTTCTCATTCACACATACCTTTTTTTTCTGTTTTATCAGAAACTTTTCCTCCAATTGGTGAGTAAGTAGTATCCATGGATTCTGTTCCTTTATTTCCTTTACTGACTCCATTTTCATACAGCTGCCCTTCAACAGGCTGTAGTTGCCAGGTTAAACCAAACAAGTGTACTGCTGCAAAAAAATGAAGACCAATTAATTGATGTCTAAGCTATAGCATCTTCAGTCAGAATAAGAAGGAATGCTATGACCCAGTTTCTGTAAAGTCAAGTATTACTTCATTCTGTTAGTAATAAATCAGAATTTCAAGGGGTCTAATGAGCAATTTACTATTTTACCTTAAAACTCAATGCTTAATTAGTTTCCACACTTTCTTTTGGAGCTCAGCCAGGTCAGGGTATGAATTTCTACAGCAATTAATGGAAATACTTGCAATTAAAAGGATAATAGTTGAATGAATTTAATATTCTGTGGCAGATTCTAATGCTACATCAATGTCCCTCAGATTTCAATTGTCAAAGAGCCCAGAGTTTCTTGATTGAAACACTGACATCAGGTAAAACTTCTCACTTTTCCAACCAGTTCTAAGTGAAACTGTGCCCACTGCATTCCCAAACCTTTTCATTTAGGTTAAACATTGCTAAAAACATGGATTCCATAGATCTACTCTAGAATTACACTGCAGATGAAAACCTGGCTCTAGATCTAAAATATATGCAATTAGTGTACAATACTCATGAACAGAAATATAGTTGTTATTTATGTACATACTCGGAAATCGAAATTAATCCTTTTATGAAGTTATAAACTATCCTGATTACCATACACGGAGGCTGCCTACTCCACTTCGCCTGCACAACCAGTCGCTGTTTCTGCTTTCCTTTCTGTTGTTTCTGATCTGAGGCACTACGGTGCCTCAGATGGTAGGAGAAAGACAGCAACAGGGGATCTTATTTTAAGTATAATATGACAGTACTGTAGTCATTTTAGACAATTACCTAGGTCTTATGCGGAGGGCAAATTCTTCCGAAGAAGAGGTTACTTTAGCATGGAAGTAACTCAGCAGGGAGTAACTGATGACCCACTAAAATATCGACTGAGGATGGCCCCCACAGGGGAGCTGCAATTGTCACATAAAAAGCAAAACCTAAGCAGGCTCTTTAGCCACATGCAGCAATTTGCACTGAGTAGGATCTGCCCACAGTGGGAGCCTAAAAGGCAATATATTTGCTCTTTCTGAATCATGTAGGAACTGCAGAGACTCTCAGGAGAAGTAAGTGTGATCTAGAATGGGTCTTGCATTTAGAAAGTGCACTGTTTTCTTTCACACTTTAAGGAAAAAAAATCTGAGTAAACCCAGGAAATCCAGCACATTATCCATTTTCTACGTGTTTGCTCACAAGACTCTCTTGCATGCTGAAAATTTAAATTATAAAGCAAAACCACATGCCTTATGTGGGTTCCTGGCAAAGGATTGCCAAAACTACCACAGGAATGTGAAGCTGCCAACCTACAAATCATTAATTCCAGATCTGTGCACTCCTGGATCACCCAGCCTCAGACACACGATCCAAACCAACCAAATGAGAACTCTTCTATATAACTGGTGAGGTGACAGTATTTGTGACATGCTTATATTTTATATACTGGCTACAGGAGAAGAGAGCCAAATTTACTGAATTCTCAAACCACTCCCTCACCATCAGATCTGGGCTCTGGAGACACTACTGGACAGTAAAATTCCCACTCCCCACAAGAGATATTAGAAACTTACTCCAGTGTTAGTGGTGCAATCTCAAGCCAGAGACTTGCCTGGATTGCTTCATATTCTGTGGACTTGAAATCGCCAAGGGACCAGGCTAATGATTTGAAAAGGGTCTTGCAGTCACATTGCACAGACCTATGTTCTGACTTTAGAGCTTATTAATGCAAGACAGATTGTGTCTACGTACAGAAGGTACAACAAAAATCAACATGCCTTGACACCTCCAGGGCAGGCGGCTTTTGCTCCTGGCTTGAGCCTCTGAACATTGCTATTATTTAAAGAGTTAATAACAGCAAAAAGGAACAAAGTTCAATGGGACTGATAACTAATGAATACAACTTTAATTTCTATAATGCAAATAATTATATCAGCACTTGAAATATCAGCACTAGAAGCAAAGCATAACTGCACACATCAATAAGCTTTTAGTGGTTATTAAATCACAAATGTAATCTAGGTGCTTTCTTCTTACGCTGTTTCCACTGTTGCTATTATTTCTTTCTTAAGTCAGCATTTGTACATGCTGCAGAGGGTACGTCACAAAGCAAGGACTAAATATGTGACACACCTTTTTCCTTACTGTATGTTTTTTCCAGATTACACTCATGGTCCACTTAGTCATCCATGTGCACCAATTCAAATAATTTGCTTCCTTTGTCTTCCTTTGGGCTAGGGAAGAGCTTTTGTTTTTATACTTCATGTCAAACTTGGCAAGCTGGCAAAACTATATATGTTTGACAGTTGTTTTTCACCCTGAGAAACACCAGCTGCATTGTAGAGATGCTGGTCTCTGCTAACCCTGGACTGCTAGTCTGTGGGAGATGACACAGGACACTGGTAGGCCACTTAATGTTAAACAAAGTGCAAGATCAAGTGTTTGAACAACATTACTATAAAAATAATGTCTACTTGAATTAAACTGAATTACTTCTACCACTGCAGAAACTTGGTCATTCTGCCATCTTAAAATCAACACAACTTTCATCACATTAGCTATAGCTCTTGAGAAATTATCTTCAGATCCAGGTAATAAACACACCACATACATCCGTAAAGCCATTAATTCTTAGAGATACCTTTTTCAGAAGTTAACTACAGGGAATAATAAATGTTTATGTAGCAGACACAGACCTTTCCCTGCCTCTTCATTTTCTGTGATATTTTTCTTTTACCTAGGGTATACATAATTCCTACAAAGCTTGTGTTTCCTACAACATCTGTACATAGTGTTTGAAATATACAGATATTTCACCAAATAAGATTAAATAAAACTTTGAAATCTCTCTCTCTCAAATCTCTTTAGAAATCAGTAGGCACCTACTGAATTCCATTAAAAAGCTCAAAAGAACTTGTCTTTTGAGTCATTCTCTCTTTGATTTTTTCTAGTGGATTCTGTCTTTTGCTTTTCCCCTTTTGCACAAAGGGGCATAGGAAATGCTGTGGAATTCAACAGTGGGCCACAAAATGTCAGTTTGCACAGTATAAATCCATTTGTAAGATTCTTAGCTGTATTTCCCTTGTGCAGTGCCCAGGCTTAAGACCGTACTCCAGACAGCAGAAGATGACACTATCACCCTATCCAACTTACTTAGGGCTGGGCTAGGTAAAAAGGAGGGAGATTCACTTTCTGATGAAGGTCTCTGCCCTTTCCTCAAAGTTCAGCCTTCCAGACTGATGTTACAGAGAAAGACCTTGACTGCAGTACTTCTGAAGGCTGGCTGCAGACTAACAGTACCAAGCCCCACCCCACCATATATAGTGCATATATATATGCACTATAGATGCATTACTGGATGTAGCTCAAGTTCCCACAGAACACAAAAAAACCAGCCACTGAGGTTAGATGACTACACTGGTATTACAGAAACAGCAAAAGCTGCTTTGGCTCTGCCTACCTGGCATTACAGAAATACTCTGCAATCAGATGCTCAGTATTCTACAGCACCTAAAATACCTCAGCTACTAGCAGGGTGCCCAAGGTCACTGGTGAACTGCTACAGCTTCAAGCAAAAAACAAGGACTACCAGGCACGAGGAGATTAAACAGCTTGTTAGCAGCATCAGCACACTTCATGTCTGCAAAATTCCTACTTTAAGTTAGGAGGGGCTCTGATGAGTCACCAGGAGCATCCATCAGTCTCTAACATTGGGTTAAGCCCTCATTTGGGCTTAACCCAACCTCTCATCTGGAAACTGAGTGTCAATATTCTCCCTGCTGGCAGTGACCACACTGCTTTACCTGGCATTCTTGAACTTCCAACTCAATTTCTTTGTTTCCTTGATTCTTCCAGCCTACCGCAAAGACCATCTGAAAAGCTACTCTTTCCTGGCTTGCTTGAACCTCCAGTATAATCCCCCCTCTATCCTTACACTATTACTTTGGTCTGTGTTATTTGTAAGATGTATTTTGCTACTAGCAGAACTGTACATTGCTTCCACTGAGGTGATCTGGAGGCAGGAAAAGATCTGAAGGCAATTTGACACTTTTTACATAATGTTTGGAGATAGAGCTTATACAGTAGTGCCACCATACCTATATTTAATTTATAATTTATTAGATAGCACTGTTTAATTCAAATTTTCAGATAAAAGTGTAACACAAAAGGGGACGTGCACTTTGTATTTTTTTTACAACATGCATTATTTGAGATGCAAAATTTGGAGGAACCTCTCGTCTGCAGAGCTAAAATGACTGGAGGATGCCAGAGGATTACAGTGAAACTAAGCTTCTTCCTCAGTCACCCTGCTCTGGCCAATGGAGCTGCTCAGGGTAACTTCAAATGGCCTGTCTCTCAAATACAGAAGATGGCACTTGTAGTACAGAGCCTTTCTTGGCTAATTTATTACTCTTCTTAGGTAAAAAGTAATTATTAGGTATAAAACAGATCTCTTGCAGAAAAAAAAAAGATTAATTAAAAGCCTGTATTTTCTACCCTTCCCATAAATTTCCTTCATGGAACAAAGAGATGAAAGCTAGTGTGACTTTATGCTGCCTAAGGGACTTTATCTAGAAGCAGGTTTTTGGTTGCTTCACATTACTGCTGTAAGTGAAACCAGTTGGGCCATGTTCAGAACCAAAGCTTGGGTCTTCACCTCTAAAGTAAATGTCCAGATTGCTTATTTTGTTCCACATTTAAATAAAACAAACTCATGCTTCCAGATAGACTCAGTCCCTGCAATTCTGCGGCATACTTGAGTAAATATTCGCAAATACATAAGCATTTCCAGAACTCGCTCTGTAAACTGGATTAACCCACCATCTGCTATGAAGCCAATGCTCTAATTTAATTTATTCTTATCTACCTTCTCTGTAAGCACAGCTAGTCAACTCCTGTGCTACATATTTGGCAGAATATAAATAAAAGGCTTGGCTCCAGTGCAAAAGAGACTCTCAGTAGTGAGGAGATGTC